TCTCTCTCTCTCTCTCTCTCTTTCTCTGCTTCTAATAAATACAATATGATACAAGATAGCCGCGGAACGATCGCGGCCTGGTTTCATGCTTTACAAAAGGAAACGTGAAATTCGCACGATAATTCTCCTCGGCCAGGACACGTTAACACGGAATTCTCTACCCTCGTTTACGCATACTCCTCTGACATCGTTTCACGACAAAAATCTCTGTGTAAAACACCAACTGGGCTCCGTCGAAGATGCTCGCATCTCCGTTCTGACTCTAATTATCGAAAATATCAACCTCGGGTTTTAATAGTATGTTCGCTTGAACCGGTCGAGGGTCAGCGAGAGCTGTGAATTATTTGGCAGTCTTTAATTTGCAAAAAAAACTTTTACAAGTGATTATATATTCGTTTACCTCGAGAACGAAGGTCTCTTTACTCTCAGTGTCCTCACCACGCCACGATCATCTTCCAACGTCCAACTCTCAGCGACGTTTCTCCGTCATCTCTTCCCTCTCAGACTTTTACAGACTCTCAGTCTTTGTGCGTCTTCTTGACAAAAACCATCGCGGACAAGGACAAACAGCGACAAATTCGATCCTCCTGTTATTCGTCTTCTCATTCTTCACACCTCCGCGATACGTTGTCAAAGAAATACGCTGTCTTTGTACTATACCTCGTTCCACCATCTTATTCGTCTCTTCGCACGAATCTTGGGTACATCGTGATCGATTCCATCGCACCCCGTTGCTCTTCGTATCGTAACAGGTACAGCAAGTACCACGAGAGGAAAAGGAAACCACCGAGTTCTACTTGAATGTCCGTCGACGTCGATCCACGTTGAAAAAGAAGGTCTGATTCAATTGGAGAAAGAACACCACTCCAGACGACTTCTTTCGCGATCGATCGATCGATCGACAAAAGAGGCTCTTCAATTCAAGCGAACCACGGTTCTTCCTCAACGACGAGCATCGAGGCGCCGCGTTCCCTACGATTTCTCGTCCATGCTGTTAGGCAGAGGCCTCTTCTTCAGTATTCCAAGATCCTGAACGTTCTCCAGGAAAGTTTTGTGATGCTGAGCGACCAACAGTGGATTCACCGTTTGCACGTCCTTCTTCAACTCTTCCATGTCCCTCTTCAACTTCGCCCGCCTGTTCTGGAACCACGTGATCACCTGAGCGTTGCTCAAACCCAATTGAGCGGCGATCTCGTCCCTGTCGGCCGGGCTCAAGTACTTCTGATAGAGGAACCGCTTCTCCAGCTCGAAGATCTGCTGATTCGTGAACGCCGTCCGACTCTTGCGCTTCTTCTTCGGCTGTTGTCGGTTGTTGAACAAGTTCAGGTGGTTCGCTTGCTCTGCAACAGAGATCATTCGGGCATGTTAGATCGGATTGTTTAGTGGACGCGTAAACCGGTTTAGATGTTTCTATCTGTATAGTGGCGGTGTTCTAACGGTGTTGGTTTTTGTTTCGTAGCAGAACTGATCGCGTGTCGCGTACACTTTCCCACGTTTCTTGCGCGGTGATCGAAGGCGAAGAAGTGAAGTTATGGAAAGATGCTCGGAGAGAAGTGAGGGGAGGCTAATTGACTCTAAGTGGCGTTTTCGACGAATGCGAAGACAAAAATTTTCCATATATTTTCAATTGCCAACAATTATTTTCGAGGTTTGGATTTAAGCTGATTTCCAGGTTCAAGCTGTGTTCTATTGTTTCTGGAATTCGTTAGGGTTTAAACGACTGATAATCATTGCCACTGTGTCTTTTGAAAGACTGAAAATTATCGCAAGCGTGTCTTAAACCTAGAAGTCTGACCAACAATTCAAATATTTACAATTATAGGCAAATTTGCATATAACGCGTGATCTATCGTAGCTTTCGAAATTTTTAAACTGCTTCAAATTTTATTTTCTCCAAATTGTTTCGCGAGTCGGAAGATTCCCGAGCTGTCCGAGATAGCCTATAAATACACGGTGGAGTCTTTCAGAGGTCGCTTCTCTCTAATATCGAAATTTCTTAATCTCCGAACGAGAGGGCCAGAAGGAGAGAAATGCAAAACGAATCGGACATCCTCAGGCGTGTTTGAATGCCGGCCCTAGAACAGGGTCCCCTCTTTCTCTGCTCCAGTCAGCTTCCAGCCACAAATCAGATGCATTTTCGTGGCGTGGAAGGGATCTCTCCATAAAAATCGTATTACCTATTCGTCACGGTGTTCAGTCGACGGAATTCCAACGGAGCTTCTTGCCCACCGGATGTTGAAACACTCGTTGCTTTCGGCGGAACAACGATCTCCTCGAAACGCTTCGAAATTCACCGACAATTTCGACCAACGAATCGAACCGTGTGCTTAATGCGATAATTGTTCGATTCGGTGACTGACTTGTACAGGTTCGTTCAAAATTTACGATCCAAATCTCCGCCTGTCGGGGATGATTTCTTTCTTTTAAGGAGTAATAACCATCTACTCCTTTGTGTACGCATATTTCACTCGTTCCAAATCGGTGGTCAGAAATTATTCAAATATCGGAATTTAAAAGAGAAACCAAGCGTCACTGAAAAGTTAACGTTTACGGTGAAATAATTCCTCTTCGACTTTCAAGCATAGTTTCTTGCCGTTGTGAATGCTAATACATTCGAACTGCAGTGATAAAAAAAAGATTCTAAATTTCCTCGACGAAAAGCTAATCATCCCGTTCGGTTGATACTGGCACACCAGCCGTTCTGGAAGACACTGTACCGTCTTAAACGATAAAGTCGTTTGAACAGCTCATCCCGTGCTCGTTTTCAGGCGACACGCTCGCCAATTTTTTCCATCCATTTCGGTGATCTGCCGAGGGAGAGGAGTGCAGAAACGTGGCGGAAAACGGTGGCGAAATTAGCGACGGCCGTTTTCGCGATGGCGTTAGCCATTAGGAAATAATCGAACCGAGTGACGAAAAAGAGAGGCGGCCGATGAGTCGTGGACAAGGTAGCCGAGTAGTCCCTGCAGGATCAAAGAACGCCGCCATCGGTCACACCTGCGCAACCCGACTCAGTACAGTCCCGCTTGAAAACTACCTCGACGATGAACGATCGACCTTGCTTCTCGCGCGACCGCCTCAAGAATGCAACCTTCCTCCACTTTTTTCCACCTGATTTTAAACGCTTCATCGCGATATCGTCCATTTTCGAACCCCTCCCCGATCTTCCACTCAGCGAACGTCATTTTTCCCTTCTAAATGTTAAGAATAATTCGCATTGTATTTTCCTAGTATCTTAAAAATTGCCTAAATAGATGTAGATTTGTGCAAGCGACAGATAAAACCGATGATTTCTAATCTCACCTAATTCCCACGAAATTCCTCTTCGCAGCGAACGAATCACCAGGAAACGTGTCCGACCTACGGATACATGGCGAAACGTAACTCGATCGGAACGTCTAATTCTCTCCAGGAACTTCTGCGCTAATAGCTTCCACTTATACAACCCGGAATTTTCAGCGTAATCTCGAGGAAGACATCACGGCCGCAGCCACCGTTTTAACGTTTTAATTGCGAATCCGTGCGATAATGGTGTTCCTTCTAGCCGTGATCGCGTACTTTCGCCTTTTATCGACACCTACGAGTACCGGTAATATCTAATACGATCTACTACCAGCGAAAACTACCTTCGAGACGATCTACTAGAAGAAGAAGAAGAAGAAGAAACATTGTAGATTAACACGCGCGAGCTTGCACGTCGTTCGATATTTCTGCAGTTCGATCGCACGCCCGTTTTCCCCCGAATGGCCGTGTTCGACCACTTTTCTAAACCTCCCCCGGAAACGACTTAATTACCCACGACCTGGTGGAACGTTTAACGCTCGTCGAAAGTGTTATTACAGTTGCCGCGATGCATGCAGATTCACCGTTTTAATACGTCCGGTGATCGAGCCTGATTTTTTGCCCATCTTCATCTTCTTTCTTGCGTTGTTTAGAATATTCATCTCTGCCCCTCCCTCTCCACCCTTAACAATTTGCAGAATTGTCTAATTGTACACCGTCTAACGCGGCCAGGCCCCGTTACGAGTGTCAGCGCTAATTACGATCGTACCAGCTCGTTTACCTCCGAGATTACATCGTTTCGCCGCTACTTTATCATCTGACGGCCGTTTAAAAGGCGAACATGTAGCAAAAATCTTGAGAAGCGTTTCGCCTCGGTTTTACGACCCTCTTCTTCTTCCTCCCGATTTTCCGTTCCGCGACCTTTCCTGTATACCGCTATCTATACAGACAGATCGTTGAACGAAATCGCCGGGGAGGAGAGGATTTTCTTCGTCTGGGAGAGAGGAGGATCGGTGGTAGAAAAGTTGGACGATAATTTTGTCGTCGTCCACTTTGTCTCTCTGTGCCAGTCAAGCCTCGAATCCTCTCTTCGCGAGACGGAATCCAGAAATACGATGGCGAGCGAGGTGGTCCGCGGGGAGTGAAGAAACGGTGGCGGCTGAAACGGCGACGAGGAACGGAAGAACTCGAGGAGAGAGCTCGCCGAGATATTAGTTTCTGCGGTCGACTCGCCGCGGAGATTTAATTCGTTTGATGTCCACGAATTCGCCGCTTCGGCTGTCCTTTCGCAATCCTCCTCCTCCTCCTACACCTCTTTCTCGTTTGAGCCTTGCCGTGTTCTCGCTCGCGGATTTTCTCACCTTTCTTTGTGATTATCCGGTGCTTTACATTTCGCCAACATACCCTTTTCTCCCCTTGCACCACGACAATGGACGCTTTCGAGTGTCTCGCGCGAGTGTCTGCTGGCTTCTGCGGAGATTAACGCCGGTGATGTGCAATTTGAATTTCGCGCCATCAGGAATTGGTGACGTTGCAAGGCTTAATTCTGTTATTTCCCGAGGAATTGATATTAAAAGAGTGCATTTTAACAGATTCCTTGATTTTCAATCATTTCTTACACTAGACATGTGAACTCAATTTGACAAGAGATCATTTGAATTTCGCGCCATTAGTAATTAATGACGCTGCAAGCTTAATTTCGTTATTTCTCAAGGTCTCGATATTAGAGGAGTGTATTCCAGAAGATTCCTCGATTCTCAATGACTTCCCACATTCAATACGGTAATGCGTAATTTAGTAAGAGACGATTTGAATTTCGCGCCAGTAGGAATTGACGGCATTGCGCTCTCAACCTCGTTACTTCCCAAGATCTCGATATTAAAAGATTCCAGCAAATTCCATTGATATTCAATAACCTCTTACGTTCGACGTAAAAAGTGAACGAGTCGAAGATTGGATTGACATGATGCTAGATTGAAATTAAACCTACTTGTTAGAACTCTAATTCACAAGATTCGTGAAAGGAACGTCTCCAACAGCGAATACCGTATGAAAAAGGGAAAAAAACGTTTCAAGAGAGTATAGCTCTATTGATAAGAAGAGAATGGAACAGTCTCCGTCACTTCCGACATCATCGATCGCTAAAGGGGATGCGATAGGACCACCTGCCGTACACGTTCTAGCTTAGGTGGACCACAGGTGGGCAGAAACGGTCGTTCGATTAACACGGTGACTCTGCCAAAAATCGTGGTTCGTTACGAGACCTGTTATCCCTGTCCATTCTACCTTGTTTCTCTTGAAACCTACTTCAACGGTAAAAGGGCGGAAGAAGAATCTACACATTCTTCCATTGAGCAACGTAGGGAAAAGGATCGTCCGATATCCCACCAAAATAAAAATCATCGAAAGACGAAAGAAAACAAATACCTTATTATTACAACTATTCGAAAAACGCGAGGAGCGTAAATGTTACGCTCGCAAAGCTTGTCGTGCGTCATTAACTTCTTGAGTTCCTTTATGGCGGCCTCTCCCTCTCTCTCCTTCTTTCTCGTCGATTACAACCGCGAATATATTAAAAGCACCGGCGTCATTCGTCTCGCGTCCTGTCCGCCATTAATAAGCTATCAACGTAAATTTTCTTTTAACGCGTTAATCCGCAGACGTACGGCGTCCCTCCAAGCGGAAGTCATCGCGCTGGCACTCGAAGCTGCGCGGCGGCGGTAGCAGCCGAGTTTCCGCACGCCAATTGGCGTGTCCACTCGCTATTGACACCACGAACAGACAGAGAGAGAGAAGAGATCCGCGTAACGGGTGCACTTGGAATTTCACCTTTGATTTTTTTACGCGTTTTTCTCACCGTCTCTCCCTCTCTTTTTTCACGGTGTCTCGCGTGTTTAACGTCGCGTTCCAGAGAGGAGGGATGCGCGATCGATAGGCGGTCTGTGTCAGAGGTCGATTCGCGCGTGCTGTCGTAAATTTCGCGACTTTTTACGGGCCGGCGAACGGGTGACGCGTGACGAGGCGAAGACCGACGACCGTTAACTCGTTTTTTTCCCCC